TTTAGACTCATGCTGCTGTGGCTGTCTCCTCTCTGGTGTGTAGTGTATATATCAGGCAGACCAGCAGCTACTGTTCTGCGTGTGGAGACACCCAGCACCCACCGGGGCCAAACCACGATAATGCAAGCTGTCCGAGATGAGCAAAATGTCTACTTGTGAGTGTGCTTCTGTTCAGATGAGTCCTGATGAAATTGTTTGCAGAGGTGTGATGGACAGCTGAAGCAATTATTCTACTTGAAGTATGATGATTAGGTATTGTGCTTGAACACTCGCATCCTCAGTATTTAGTTGTTTTGATGCATGAGGTGCCTCCTGCCAGCCTAGGTAGGGATGTGCTCGACAGCCGATTTTCACACCGGCCTCACTTGTTGTGACGGCTGCCACTAACTATGGTCAATCAATAGATCTTGGTTGTAAACGCTCAGAAAGCCATTTCCAAGTGTTAAACATTGTTTTCTCTATGTTCAAGAAGTCACAGTGATCCTCACAATAACCCTGTCCCTCCTTGTTCTCACACCTTCTGCTCTAATTTATATTAATATGGTCATCATGAAGTTATTTTTGATTTAACTTGATTGTTTTTTCTTCTTTGCAACCTTGAAGATGAAGCAAGAACAAACTCATTCACAGTGAAAAGACCTGACAGAGGCAGAACGCTTTTCAGCAGAGGTTTGTTTGGGTATTACATCCTAACCTTCAGAGTGGTTTAACACAGTCTGTGCACACTGCAGTATACTACTCATAGCTGGTAGCTGGAGGCTTTCCTCTGAGAAGAAAGCATGTTTTACACCCAGTATATGCAGCCTCCTGCTGTGGTCTGCAGGCTTCACTTCCTGCAATCTGTCAGAAACAGCATTCAATATATTCTAACATAACTTTAACTTTGAGCTATTACTGAAGACACTCTGAATGAGTCACAGCCCCTCAGGTGGAAAGAAATCCAAAATCTCAGCATTTTCCATGTTTGGGCAATCAAGTCAGGTGTTTACTTATTATCCCAGTATTGTGAGATAAAACTGCAGCTGCAGACCTTTTTTGTGTGAACAGTTGGACTATTATGCAAGCATCATGCAAGTTCAGATGTACAGTGGCCTCATATAAATTTGCATATTTGAGGCATTCCAGTGATTTACAGCATAGAAGCAATTAAACTAAAGGATGTCTCAAGGGTCCCCACCTGGGTTGAACCCAAACAACCCTTTGATCTCTGTTAAGTGGCTGCATTTATATTGCCAGACCTTATCTGAATAGAATTCATTTATTTCTGAATTCATGCAGCATTGCCAAAAGAGTTGGGAGCAGCAGCAATCACTGCAGGATCTTGGACAAGTTGGGCAGTTGTGGATCTCTCAGGATGTGTGTTGTAACACTGCCCCCTCATGGCTGTAGCAGGAAAAATCATTTTTTTTTATTTTATTATTTTTTTTTTTTTTTTTACTTGAATATACAATGTATGACTGTGTTTATGACCTCACACACCTGGGGGTCAGTACTATTTTCCTTGTCTTGCAGTAGGTGAATCACTGCACCTGTAGGCAAACACAGTGGATGAGCTGCAGAAAGGGGTATTCTTTTGCTTTCGTTTCTGTCTTCAGATGCCATCAGCCTTTTGCTTTATGCGTTACTCATATGAATCACATGCAGAAAAGTAGTACGACTTCTCCACTGAGGTGTTTTTGCAGCCGCTTCATCTATGTACTGTAAATATACTGTATGATACAGTCCATACTGTATGACTGCCAAAAATAAAATAAAAAAAAAAACATAAATGGGGCGGTATAGCTTAATCAAACCTATGAATGTCACTAGATTAACAAGATTACATTTAATGTCTCCTAATCAAGCAGGCAGAGCGGGGGTTCTTTGTGATATGCTGTAAATTCCTCCACTCCTGCTCCTCACTTAATTTACTACCATCATCTTTTTGAAGGATTAAAATGAAGCTCATGGATGCAGCCTTGTTGCACCCAGACACATCAAATCACTTTCAAAGTACTGAGAAAACAGAGTGACGGCTCCCGAGTGTCCACTCTGTATTTTTAACACTGCTGAAATGAAATGGGAGCAGCACTTGTCTCATACTGCTGTTTGATTGCATTTTGTGACTTGAACTGCTGATGTTGTTGTCAGTGGAATATTTGGCTGACACAGCTTTCCATTTCCAAAAGTGGATGACAGCTCCACATACCAGATTTCACTGTTTGTTCTAACAGGACAGCACTGATAAGAAAAAGTGGGCTCATACCAGCATTACATTGTTGCAATAAACATTTAAGTTTGAAGGCTGCTGCCTGTATTTGAATAGTTAATTGTTGCTCACAAATCTAATAATTGAACTTGAGTGCCTTCATTGTGGGGAAGAACATTACTGGAATAGTATCTGTGTTTTATTTTAGCAGATGCACCCCAAAAGGCTGAGCCAAGAAAGCTAACCATCTGAAATCCTAAGCACCTACACAGTCTATTATATGCTTTGGCACCAGAACAGAGATTGTGTGTTTATTGCACATATTCAGTGACAACAAAGAGCCAAAGGGGCTGTGGAGGAAAGAGTATAAAGACAGGGAAAAGAGTCTCGACAGCCTTGAATCAAGATGCTCGGAGTGGTCCTCACGTATTTTGTTGATGTTGACTGTTGACACGTAGCTGTTTGTCTCCATCTGTCTCAGCCTGGGTTTCATCGTTGTCTGGTTGCTGCGTGCTACCTGCATCAAACAAGCCTTATAAGTCAAGACTTTGTTCCTTGCAATGCAGGGTTTCAGTTAATTAAACCTAGAATTTTGGTGTACAACTGCAAGGATGGTGTCAAAGTACATAAAGAGCAAGGCCTGTGTGGAAGGGAAATGTGATTCTCAGTGATTTAACTGAACAAGTTTAAGGAAACCTGGTGTATTTTCAGTTTGGATCTTATTGTTATAAGTTTGGCCGCAGCATACTAGTTTTGAAGACACTGTAAACAAGTTGATTGCTGAGTTTTGGGAAAGTAGCAACACTGCTTAAAAGAAGCCCAACAGGGTGAGGACAAATGGTTAGATAATGCTAACCTGCAGCTTTTGAACAGAACTTATGGAAAGAAAAATGTAACTAAAAAAATACCTGGTAAGATACCCAAACTGTCTGTCCAGACTGTAGCCACCCAGCCATCCTAGAGTAGAGAAACCCAACCTCGTGGCCAAAACTTGTTGGGTCATTCTGCAGAGTCGTTAAATACCAACATTTTTCAAATATTTATCAATTGTCTGCACATAGAAACAGTCCGGATCAATGAGGAACAAGAAAGCAAAATTTATTTATATAGCACTTTTCTAAACAACAATTACAAAGTGCTGTACCAGACAAGGCCAAAAACAGGAAAAATAAAGGTTAAAATTAGTTCAAATTTGAAATTTAAATATAGAATAACATCATTGGCAGATAAAAATAGTGTAATATCATGATTTTAACAGCCAGTTACAACCTTGGCCTTTAGTTAAAAATAAAAAAAGTTCAGGACCCTCACAGTGCTGATGCCAAGTGCCTGAGAAAAGAAATAGGTTTTAACATGGGTGTTAATGAAATAAAATTAGAGGCCACTCTAATATCAAAAAGTAAGCTGTTCCAGAGTTTCTGAGCCGCCACTGCAAAAGCTCCGTCTCCCAGGATTTAAATTTAGATCTCAGTAGAAGTCAATTAGAAGATCCGAGGGATCTATTAGGGGTATAGGGATGTAAAAGCTCTGAGATATAAGGGGGTGCAAGATTGTTCAAGGCTTTAAAAACAATTCTCTGTTGGACAGGGAGCCAGCAAAGAGAAAACAGCACAGAGGTAACATGTTCACACCTACGTGTTCCCATAAGAAGACAAGCAGCAGCATTTTGAACTAATTGGATTTTAAACCACAGAGAGTGAGGAAGACCAAGACAAAGGGCATTACAGTAGTCGGGTCTTGAGCATGAATTGCTTTTTCAGTCTTTAAAAGAAAATAGTTTACTTTAGCAAGTAATTTTAGCTGGAAAAAGCTTTCTTAACCACTGTTTATCCATCTAAAGGAGCTATCAAAGATCACCCCAGGATTCCTGACATGCAGGAGCCCATTGTAACAAGGTCAACAAGGTCATGGTTTAGGTTAGGCAGCTAAAACGCTGCGCTAACTCAATATAAAATATAGATTGTGTGTTCTCCTCTGCTCTATCCCTGCATCCATGATATGCAACACAGTTGTGTGCATGTATAGTTTTGCTGTGAAGTGAGAGATTATTAGCAATACTTAAGGTCACTCAGTTTTACTTTCCTCTCGGATTGAAGTGGTAGATAAAATGGCTGAAGTGTGGACTTCTCCACAGCCTGTGTGATTGTGTTTTTTGGCTGATGTTGAACATCATTGTACGGTTGTGGCGGGATTCCCAGATCTTAGCAACTGGCTAGTTGGTTACAGTGTTTCCTAATAGAAATTATGGTTAAATGTACATAAATGCAAAGAAACCAAAATAACAATTTAAGCTGATATGGATGCTTCGTTCACTGTTCATCTGCTGTGCTATAGCTCATTGGATGCCATTATGCTGGGTCAGCCTGCGAAGAAGTTGTTCAGTCACCTAGTTACCCAGTCGGCTGGGGAGTCCCTCAGTCGCTGAACCAGCCAGTCGAGCAGTCATCCAGTGGCTAAGAGAAAAGTGCAGCCAAGAAGACAGACGTTACCCAAATCTTGATGATTTCCAGATGAGAGCCAAGGCTGCTTGGCCTGAGTAGAGAACATACACAGACGCAGAGAGCACAAAGAGGGAGAGGGACGGAGGATGGAGAGAGGAGGGAGCAGGAAAACAGTCGCAGTGAATTTAGAAATGATCCTGACAATAAAACTATTGTGAGGTGCTGAAACTAAACAGTCAGTGTGTTGTCATCCTCTTTCGTGATGTTAGTTAATTTATGACTGTGACTGCATCCGTTGAGAGAGACAGAGCTTGAAAAGAAGAGAGCGTGCACGAAGTTGCGTGAGGAGACCTGAGTGTGAGGAAAAGAGAGCGTTCACTGAGTTGCGTGAGGAGACCTGAGTGTGAGGATAATCAACATGACGCAGTGGTGGGCTCTGCTCCTCGTTGTTTACCTGCTCATCTACCTGGCAGCTTCTCAGCACCACAGGAAAAGTAGGTGCACTTGAACTTATCTGGTCCATGAATACATTAAGCTTCTCTTTTTTTTTTATCACAAGCCAAAATGTCATGTAAAAGGCTGATCTGTATATTTAAATTATCACTTGTACACAAATTGGAAGTGTTTTGTTCCATAATTTAAAGTGAGAACATTTAAACGTAATCATAGTTTCATCTTGGTTTGCTTCTGTGAAGCAATGTGTTTATCTTCTAGAGATATTAGGAGTGTTGCAACATACTGGAGTTCAACAGATCATTTTCCAGTGAAAAGTGACTGGCCTGTTGTTACTGGATCCACTCTCTGAGGAAATGCCTTTTCTAAACACTCGCATGCTGTAGCTTAAAATCTTGGTTAACTCGTATGATGCTTAAACCTACTACAGGAGCATGGCCACTGACGTTACAGACACTGAAATGACTAATAATTTTGAAGAGACTGAAAAATGTTAAATACTGTTTTCATGTTTCAGTGATTCCACAGTTTGGTTCAGATTTTGTCTTTTTTTTATTGCCAGAGAAATTTTTTATTGCTCAGTTAATCTTGTGATTGATAAAGCAATGTTAAAGCTGCGTTAAACAGTGTCACCAGAGCAGTCAGTTACAATAAAGCTATGAACATCTAATATTCAGATGAGTTACAAATAAAAGGAAGAACCTGAGTAGGTAAATGTTGTGAATCAGATACTGTGGTCACCAGATCTCAACCCATTTGAACAGCCTTGGGAGATTTTGGAGCGACGTGTTAGACAGCGTCTCCACCACCATCATCAAAACATTACATGAGGAAGTATCTTTTGGAAGAACAGGGTTCATCCCTCTGGCAGAGTTCATGGAATTGGAGAATCAATGCCATGATTTACTGAAGCTGTTCTGGCTCTGGTGGCCCAACACTAAGTCATTGTGTTAGTTTTTCCTTTTAATCTGTCACCCGTCTGTATGTATTAAGAGATTTCACTTTAATGTTTTAAATAATTTTACTAATTTTTTAGAAAACAATCCAGGTACAATACATACAGTTGTTAAGAATACAACTTAAAAATACTCCTAGCTTCACAGCAGTCTGGCAGACTTTTATTCTCATAAATTATTGAAGGTTTTAGGTCAAGGAAATTGCAAGATACTAACAAAATAGTCAGTTTGTTTTATTATTGACAAACAGTAAAGTGTCTTTACTGAGACTTGGTCTCATAAATGTGCTCATAGTGTGCCAGGACTGATAGTAAAGTTTGTAGTAGATTCTGTCTGATTTGTTAGAATCTTGTCATTTGTTTGGATTTGAAGGTGAGTTGAAATGATAAACAGGGGATGGGCAGCTATAGCAAAGATTTTATTGTCTCCTGTGCCCTTTTCTCCCCCTTGTACTGTATGCCGGAGGAATCGAGACATCATTTTTTCATTTAGTTTTAGTGTTTTTCTCTCTCTCATCAAGACATCCCTCCAGCTAGGAGTACCATTTAGCCCTGCTAATTAATGGATCTTTGTTGTTCCCTCATCTCCTTGCAAGCAGTTAGCAGGAGATTACAAGTTCCCTGCATGTGCATAATGACATTGGGGGAAGTCTGCCTATCCAAACACTCATTGTTTGGAGCAAGGAAAGAGGGGAAGCATGACAGACAAACAGGCTTAGAACTAGCAGCAAGGAAAGCTCAGATGTTGTGAAGAAGGGCATCCATATTAAATATTCAACCTGAAAATCTGATGTGGCTAAATAATAGAAATGTGCCTAAAAACAGCTATGGATGCCTCACATCAGCCAAAGTCTGACATAGTGCAAACCCACACATGACCGATTTGCATCTGAAATCAGCACACTATATACTATATAGGGCATGATATTTGTGATGTTATTTATGCAAGTGTCCTGCAGAATTCCCAAGATGGAGCAGAAAAATAGTACCCACAACAATCCCACAATGCATTGCACTACATTTTACAGCTCTATACTTGATAATGATGCAAACTGACAATGATTAATAAGTATCTGACATCTCAATTTAATGCTCATTATAGTGTAAACCAAGGAGTGTCTATTATTTAGGGAGTAATGAACAGGAGAGTGATCTTCATGTTATTAATGAGGCCACGCACACCCACAGGTCCCTTAGTTCCCTGCCAGGTTGTCTGTTGTGCATCCCAGGCATAGTGTTCCAGTCTTCTGGCTCCCGCCTGCCTTTCTTGTTTCTATCCTGTGCTTGCCTTTTGGACTTCCAGCCATAGCTACCTTGCCATTTTTTGTTCTGCTGCTCTGTCCTGAATTTCTCCTTTTGCTTTTAGCTTACCTGTTTGCCTCCAAGTCCTCTCCCTGTTTTGCATAGCCATTACAAATGTGCAAGAGTAAATCTATGCAGGGATTTATTTGGTTGTAGTTTTATAAATTTTATAAGATATATGATCTGTTTTAGTGTCTCCACCTGTCTTGCTTCAACAATGTCAGCATTAACCAACAGAAACATTTTTATTCCAGACTGATGTTGCTGCTGATGGAAACACAGACACACACATTTCCCTGCACACCAAAGGACTATAGTGGTACTGCAAACAATGAGAGAGTAGTGGGAAACCCTCAAAGATTATTAATTTGAGATGTAAATCAGCACTGTAGTTGGCTTCCAAGTTGTAATTTCCCTGCAGCTACTTCATCCTTTAACAACATAATCCTTAATGAGCACACTTCCCCCTGGGTGGTGTTTTATTTATACTGATAATGCCCCACAGAAATTGTACTCTCTCTTCAATGTCTAATGTGTGTACACAAGCATTACTCTGCTTGTTGATTGTACATTTGGGAGTCACTTACTCAATGAGGAGTGTAAATTTTCACCTAGAAGTTGTCATGCACTCATAGCCAAACTGCACTCTCGGATCTAGGGTAATGCATCCTCATATGGAGATGAAATTCACCAAATAAATAGTTTGACACTTTGATAAATGCACGTATCCACCTTCTAGCTGTTGAAGCTGGAACCAGTAAAGAGTTAGCTTAGCACAGCTTGAAAGCTTAAAGCAATGAGCCAAACATGTTGTTCTTGTGCCAAGAAAACCTCCTTATTCATGTTTTTACATCTTGAATGTGTGGTCTCTAGCACTAACATATGGTTTATTTTTCTCTGGCCACTATCATGACTAAATATGAAGCTACAGCTAGAAGCCAGTTAGCATAGCCTAAAGACTGAAAATAGGGAAATAGCTGGCCTAGCTGTGTCCACAGTAACAAAATCAGCCAATCAATACCACTAAAGCTCAAATCAGATATTCAGGTTAAACAAGCAAAGATATGATGTGTTAATTAGTGAGTTTAGGATGTGCTAGCAGATAGGTTTTGTTACTTTAAACAGAGTCTAAACAGAGTTTCTTCATACCAAGCAAAGCTGCTGGTAGTAGCTTCATACCAGTATTTCTGAAATCTTGGCTATGTCCATATGTGAATGGTTTGAGATGAAAGGCAAAAGTACCAAAATGTAATAATCTAACAGTGGAACACTGAGCTACAGATTTTCTTTACATTCTGAATGGCGGCTACATGCGAGCTTGCCAGTCACCCAAGCAGGTACATGGCAAGATCAGTCAGTGTGTGCAGCTTTGGCTGGCCTCACAAATACTATAAAGTCAACCATACCTGGCCAAGAAGGCTGTGGACAGCAGCCGATCATTGCTGCGGAACTGGCGAGACAGCATATTGTAGATGCCAGTGTGGGGTGGAGGGAGCATATGATCCAAATTCAGATGAAGCCCAGTGTTTGTACTGTAAACCTCATTAAGATCTGTGTGTGTGATCGGTGTGCTGGCACACACACAGGGCCAAGCATTGGATGATGGCAACAGAATATGTTAGGAAAACAGAGCCAGTCTGCAGAACCTCAGACAAAGTTTTGCCTTATTTTAATCAGTTCTAACCAAATTTGTTTTTCACTTCACTCTCCTGAAGACATCAAATTGCTCTTAGTCTCACACAGTGGAAGGAGTCATAATATCAACACATCTAAAATTTCTGGGTGGCAACAGTAGACATATTATAAATGGTATTAGAGAGGAAGTGCACAGGGTTACTCACCCATCTGCTTTCTGTTCTCATTCTTTTAATTCCAGCCTTGTTTAGACTTGACCTCCCAGTCTTTCCATAACCAGTCTGCTCACTCTCGCACAGAACTGTTCGCTACAAATTTGCTAAAAAATGTTCTTAAATGCTTTCTCCCTGAAGAAACTCACTTTCTTCACTTGTTTTAAGTGTAGTTTGCAGAGTTTTCAGGATGTTCTCATAACAATTTTAATGCATTAAAGAGAGTATGCCAGATTACAGGTTGCCCTTTATTTAAAAATAACTACTCTGTAAATTAAGCTGTAACACAGAATGCAATTGAAGTAATAATGTAAATTTTAATGTGCTCATTGTGAAGTAGTACCTCAAAACTGTACTTAAATGAAGAATTTGAGTAACTGTATTTTGTCATTTTTCACCTGTGGATAAGAAGTCTGTCACCATGTGGGATTGCTTGTGGTTATCACCTCCAGTAAAATATGGATTTCATGGTATTTTATCATAAAGATGAAGCTGCAGCAACAGTTTCCACCAACTGACAGGAAGCGGTTTCATTCCAGCTCCATCATAACACCTCAGATTACAGGGTCCTTGGTCTGTTACACACACAGTGGGGGCTGAAACTGAAATCTGACCAAAAGAGGTTGACCACACCTGCCCTTCTATTAGCACTGATATCTCAGCTCTGGATGTACCAACTGTTGCCACTTGTAAATACAGGGGTTGAACACCAGTTACCCCCTGCACAACCTGAGCCAGATCCTCTCCCACCTGAGTAATATTCATTCATTCATTTTCTACCGCTTAGTCCCTGAACGGGGTCACGGGGTGGGGGGCTCAGGTCGGAGCCAATCCCGGCCAGCGAATCGGGCGAAGGCAGGGTACACCCTGGACAGGTCGCCAATCCATCGCAGGGCTAACACATAGACGAACAACCACACACACACACACTCCTGTGGGCAATTTAGAGTCACCAATCAACCTAAGCTGCATGTCTTTGGACTGTGGGAGGAAGCCGGAGTACCCGGAGAGAACCCACGCAAGCACGGGGAGAACATGCAAACTCACACAGTAATGAATCTGTTTATTCAAATTCTGGCCCAACCACATTGGATAATGTTGTGCCTGATTTCTAGAGCCTCTAATCCAGTTTCCTGTCCTCATGTGTTCTAGCTCTGTATCCATCTGCATATAGGATAAAGCGTGGGACATATTCACTCATCAACCCCACCTTCCAGCACTCAGTGGAAGACATCAACTTACTTTTTGAGGTCAGTTTAGATATGAAAAGGGTCATTAATCACTGAGTCTTTACTGGAAACCAACTGAAATATGTGGAACATTTCCAGCTCACATATTTGTGCTCACATATTTGTGCTGAAAGCTCCTGATAAAAAAAAGTGCCACTGCTGTCCTGTTAATCAAAAACAGAAATGTAAAAGTATGTGTTTACCCAAAGCTTCCTGACACCAGTGGAAACAATGATTAACATCTCATGATGTTTTTAGTTCACTTTAAAAGACCCAAGTATTTTGTTTTAGTAGATTTATATGGTTGGAGTTTTTGGTAGGAACTGAACTTGAAAGTTAATTATTTAGTTGGTTAGTAGACAGTTCCTCAGTGCTTTTCTCAGTGGGACTTCTGTCTCCTAGATTCTGCTGGCTGGAATGCAGATAGAAGGTCAAGAACACACCATGCTGATCCCAGATGAGGAGCTGGCCTCCCTGATGAACGTCAAGAAGCTGGAGGTCATCTGTGAGGACGTCCTGCCCAAGAAACTCTCTGAAGCTTGGACAGATGCAGTGATCCAGTTGTTCAGAGCTGTTCAAAGGGACCTCAGAACCTCTTGAGGAAGAATCAGAAGAGGTATTGTTGTAAAATGATATTTTGTGGTGATGCACGCTTTCGGCTGCTCATGGTCACCATGGTTTTAGTCTTATGTCCATTTTAACAGAGGTGGGCATTACCATTCTTGACAATCACACTGCAACTCTTAAATGCCAATAAAAATTTTAAGACATTAAAGAAGAAAGCAAAATGTTTCCCCAAAGATTTCACCCCTTTTGTTTGTTTCTACATAGCATTGCTTTACCATCCTGTACTGGTTCATGAATTTAAAATGTTTTTGCAGGGCAATGTGAGACAATAGTGTGAAGAGTGGGGAAAAAGCTAGTAGACAAGATTTTTCACTCAGTTTATTCTGATAGTGCACGACACCCATCTAGTTTTTGACAGAAGTGTGCCTATAACCGGTTTTAGGATTGGCAATTTCCAGAAATGAAGAAGTCTGTGAAAGCTTTTTTTTTTAAAAACAGGCATCAATTTAATTAATTACTTTAATAATTAAATAACTGATCTCAGCTCCTCCAGGTGTTTGTCACGTTCAATGTAAATGTTTTATGCTACTTATCTGTGCAGATTCTCAGTCATCCAGGTCTAGTCCAGTTGAGTTTGTTTCAGCTTGATGCTACTTATTTGTTTGAATATAGAAATTAAATAAAGCCAATAAAGCATCTGAGCTTAACTGAGCCATGAGTCACAGAATGGCCTCATAAGTCAGGCACAGTCCACTGTGTTCTTATAAACCTCCACGTTGTTGCAGCCTAGGAGGCACTGGCACACTGGCAGTCACCCTAAATCAGCACTTGACTACTTGCAAATACTGCAAGTGTGTGTGTAGAGTAGTTTAGTTTACATTCTGACTTTTGTTATTGTACTGATGTTTCACCTACTTGAAAAATATATGCAAAGTTGCTACTCCATGCAGTCACCTCCAGTGCTGTGCAGCTTGTTTTTTTGTTTTTTTTTGTCATCAAATAACTGTAAACAGCATTAGATGCTTTGCTGTCTAGAAAAGATTGCACAGCTCATTTGATTTGTCAGTAAAAGCCCTATGACTGAAAACCAGAGATTGTACTTAAGAGTCTGTGTACATCAAAACCCCTGATTGCTCATTTGTAAAAGTGTAAAATGTTTGCTTCAAAGCCACCCATTTCCCCACTTATTTTGGGAATTGGGTACTTGCCATAATAGGCTTTCATGCAGTTCACTCATCTTGGAGTGGATAGGGAGTATATATCTGGTTTGTGCTGTTTTCCCTCCTTGAGTCAATTGCTTATACATTTTAATATTTTGGTTCAACTCCAGCTTTTATGCTTGCATCCAGCTTTGGAGGGTTTGCTGTCCCAGTGTTTGTCATTTCCTCCAACAATATGTATATTCCCCACAGCATTTACTGTAATTTCTGAAAGTGTATCTGATGCTCAGGATTTATTTGGCAGTATTGTCAGTCTCTTTCTCAGCATGTCAGCCTTCATTCAGTGCCCAAGCTGCTGGCACTGACTGATGAGGTGAAGACTGTACTGAGGAGTTTCCTTCTGAGAGAACCAGCCTTTGCTCGGTGCACTGCTCTAACGATGATGATGATGACTTTTGGGATGTTTCTGGCCGCTACTTGACAGAGCGTAAAGACGTAAACAGTACAGCACAGGATGTTTTTTTCCCCCCTGTATCAATTCTGACAGCACAGCTTTTCATTGAAGCATTCCCACTCGGGCTGGTATTCACTTCTGGAATGAAGTGGAAGAAATGTATTTCCATATAGTTAATTAGTTTAACTTGCTTTAAAAGTGCAAGTTGCTTGCTGCAGACCTTGTCATAGACTGAAAGCAGATGAGTAATACATGCAATATATGCTAAGCCAGTTCAATTGTGCTCTGTAGCTACATTCAGTGTGTAAAATATGAGGGATATTTTCCATATTTTACAGTTACTCACTAACTGCACTGCTTCTGTTGATCCTCTTCTGTGATTGCAATAAAAATGGGGCTTAATTACTGTCCTTCATGAATAATGGGTCCCTAACAGTTTACCTGTTCAGTGTATTACTCCTAAATATCATTTATAATCCTCAGCAGCATAAAGCGTGTTGAGACAGCAGCACCAAGTGGCTGCAGACAGAACTGCTGCTCTTCACTGAAAACTGTTCTCAACCCAACTTTGTGTCTATATGCGAGCTTTGTGACTGTTCCTCCTGAAGATAACAGTGTTCTCCTATAGTTCTCCCTTTAAGTTGCATTTATAAGTGCCCTATATTGTGCCCTAAGATGTTATCTTAGGGCACAATATAATGTGGTGCAATATAACCTGTCCTCACCCGCTACTCCACAGTGTGGGGTAGTCATGGAACATTTTATGCATGTACTGCTGTGAAGTATTTGAAAATTATTCCAGCCATTTCATTTCACTGTAAATCAGATATGCATATAAATACATTTATGGTGGTGGTTTGTCTACATGTCAGCCCTGTGATAGACTGGCAATCTGTCCAGGGCGCATCCTGTCTCTGGTCCAATGTCAGCTGAGATTGGCTCCAGCGACCCTGTTCAGAAATAAACTATATATAATGGATGGATGTTTTCCTTTTCTTTCATTTAAACATTATTATCTGTAACATTTCATTTCATGTGCTTATTTTGTGAAGGTACAGGAATATATATGACATAAAATACATCTGTATTTCATACCTCTCCTAACTCAGAGTACATATTATAAATGACGGGTTGGACACTAGGTGGCAGCATTTCCAAACTTGATTGCCTGTTGATCATCACTTTTGTTATCAGTCATTTTGACTTTTGTTATTGATTTGAGTAGATGTTGTGGGTCCAGAGGGGGAGCTGAACTTAGTGATAGTACAGTGTGTAATAGTCTTCTCTTGCTGTCTGTCCTCCTCAGTCCATATAGTGTTTATTGTTTATGCATGGAGTGAGACTCCTAGATGAGCTCCTGAACTCATCACAGTAAATGTGTTATGCTGACACAAAGTGTGGGCTGCAGCAACATGGCAAATCTGATTATTTTTCTTTTTTTGGGGGTGTGTGGAATGTTTGAATGTGAGGTGGCCTAATTGAAGCTGATTCTCATCAAATCTGGAATGTGTTTTTCTCAGTAGAAATATTTTGTGATCTCGTCCAGCTCAACACCCAGATGTTTCAACTAAAGTTTATCAGCTGCATATGTTTTCCACACAGCTGTCAGGCACATTTTCATGATTCAGATCTCTCTCTGCTGACAGAAAGGGACTTAAGAGATGTCATATTTTCTTTTCTGCACTGAATTCAAGAATTCAATACCTTGTTGTTTTTAAATGAGCGCACGGAAACTTGCCATAATAAAACCTTTGAAATATTCAAAGGATTTCCTCCATCTGTCAGTCAGATGATTTCTAGTAAAACTTGAAGTTCTCTCCTCGGACATTATGAGAAAAATATTTCAGGATCTTAAACCCAGGCATCAAACGCTCCAGCTACACTATTACAACCACTTCTGTGGCACAAATCAGCCCATACAGGGCAGATTCTTTTCTTTGGATGTCCTCTGACATAATGTGTGGAAAATGTCATTTTCATATATAAATGGACTGTGTTTATATAGTGCATTTTTCCACAGTGTGTTGCACTGGCCAAAGCGCTTTATAGGAGATGACACACAACATTCACACACCGATGACAACAGGCTGCCACACAATGGCGCTAGTCAAGCCATCGGGAGCAATTCCAAGTTCAGTGTCTTACTCAGGGACTCTTATGCATGCAGAGAGACCGAGAGTCAAACCACCAACTTGCTGTTCAGGAGACGACTGCCCTACCTCGTGAGTCACAGCCACCCCCACAAATGGTTTTTTATTAGGCAAATCTTTTTCATTTCAAGTAGGAATAAAATGCAGAATGAAGGTTGTGACTCAGAAACTCCAGATGTGATTTATGAGCTGCAGCCATCAACATGGTGACGCATCAACATGCACCCACCAGCTAATGTCACGCCAGTGTCTTGACTGGGTGCTTTTTACTGGTTTTTGCATTGCTAATACTAGGTTAACTGACACCACCCTGTATAGTCTGGAACTAGAACCTAATAAAAATATTATAAGGTTATGATTGTGCACCTTCCAAGGGTCTGGCATTGCAGCAAGTCACCAGTTGAAACCACAGCTCTAGAAGCACTTCATAGTCATTCTTGCAGCTGTTATTCTAATGGGGCATATATAATAGCTGAGACGAGCAGAGAGATGGTGCCGGCAGATGGATGGATTAAATAAATAGGTGGATGGATGGAGGTGGGATGTGCTAGTCAGGGAGTGATATACCTCACTGTGTCAGAGAGCCAATTACACACTGTGATTGAATGCAGGCTGTGCCTTCCAAGAACTAACACAGTATTTCACAAAAACATCACATCTGTGAGACTCGACTGGAAATTGCAAAGGATAAATGAAACACTATTGTATGGACTATTGTTGTCCTGCTACATTTGGATTCAGAATTCATATTCTTTAAAAGTCAGCAGTTTTGTTATTTTCCTCTCCATGCTCCCATTCTAGTTCTGAGATAGTTTACAGCATCCCACAAAGTTTACTGAGCATATCGCGTTTTTTTTGAGAAGAGAGTTGGCAGGCCACAAGAGAAAGGAGAACTCTCCCTTACTCTCCCAAACTCTTATCAGACATTGTTATGAGAAGGTGCAGGGTTCACATGGGAGTTGTGGTATGCAGTGTTTCAACACAGCTCCCTAGGTCCCTAATTTGATTTGGCCTGGTGCAGTCCAGCTGCAGGTGGAGCAGTCTCAAAGGGGACAGCCCACGAAAGCCTGATGACAGTGAATGAGTGATTGATAATTCTGTTGTGTGTGGATGATGTTCCTGGTTAGACTGTGTCTGTCTTATCTCACAGACACTCCAAAGATCTTTTAGTACTGGAGGGGGGAACTTGTGTTTAATTTAATCAGTATTTCTACATTGATTATGGGACAAATAAGGATGTGTAATGTGAAAATCATCACTTGTGGTGGC